TAGTTTGACTATTCGGTAATTTTCGACTTTGCCTAGTGGAAAATCTTGCCGATTTCTCCCGTGAATGTGCAAGCACTAAGGAACTAAGCAAAGCTACGATCACTCCTAGTGGTTCGTGCCTACCCCCGTAGTCTAGCTCACTACTATTGTAGAGTGACTCTCCGCACAGTCGGCGCTGACGACGATGTGGCTGACGCTGAGGAAGCGAGTCGCGCTGACGGCGCTGAGGGTGGCATGGAGGCTACCGCCGAGGGCGGCACCGCTGAGGATATGTTTCTAGAAGGTGTTACGGGCATGGACGACGACGACGTCGTAGAGTACTGGTCACGCAACGGGCTACACGAGAAACTGCCTATACCATCCTATCCTCCGATTAATCGCAAGCGACCCCACCCTTCTTCACAAAACCGTTATGCCCGCCCCCCCTCTCCAAGGTATAAGGTTACCGACCACAAGCGTCAGGTTTATAGCGCCGCCGAGAAATTGAAGTGGGTTGCGCGACTTGATGTGGCGGTGTCGGTGTGCGCCTTGGCTCGCGAGAGTAGAATCCACCGCAAGTGCCTCACGAACTGGAAGCGGGCGGCGGAATTCCTCAAGGAGGTTCACTTCACACGGAAGCGCATGCACGGCCGCGGTAGGGCGTCGTGGTACCGGCCGATGGAGTTGAAGGTGTACGAGAAGCTCCTCAACTGGCGCCGCAAGGGAACCGCCATGTCCGTCGGCCGCTTGCAGGAGTGGTCGCGGGAGTTCATGAAGATTGTGTTACCCCTCGTGAAGTGGAAAGGAAGCCAGAGGTGGTCGGAGCGCTTTCGGCGGCGATGGAATCTGAGCATGAGCATGAAGACAAGGGTCGCCCAGAAAACCACCGCGCGTAAGAATTACCCCGTGTACTTTGCCACATATTTGTCCTTTTGCTGTACTAACCCCTTCCGTTTGTGTCCGTCCTCTCTTCCACCACCTAACAGATGTTGGGGAGCAGTGCAAGAGCTTTTGGCAGTTCGTCCGTAACAAGCGTCGCGAGCGCGGCATCGAGACCACGTGGATCATCAACGCGGACCAGACGCCGCTCTGGCTGGAGATGCCCGCCACCACTACCGTGGAGGAAACGAGTGTTCGGTCGGTGCCCATCAGGAGCGCTGGTTACCAGAAGCAGTGAGTGACCGTGATGTTGGCGTGCACGGCGGACGGAGTGAAGCTGAAGACGTTACCAAAGGGCGATTTTCCGGCGGGTAAGTCATGAGGTTTTGTTGACGTTCGATGCGGTTTTCCTTTGTGTACGAATTCTTACTATCCGATGATGTTTCGTGCAGATGTGGTCGTGGCTTGCCTCGAGAACGGGTGGATGGACGCCGCGGACGTCATTCGCTGGCTTGAGGAGCGCGTCAAGCCCTTCTTGAAGCCTTGGTTCGGTAGGCACGCAAGGAGCTCGATGGTGGTTCTGGATTCTTACCGCGGTCACCTCACCGAAGGGGTGAAGGAGAAACTCCGCGAGATGAACTGCGTGCCGGCAATCATCCCGTCGGGCTGTACGGCGGAGGTACAGCCCCTCGACGTCTCAATCAACAAGAGCTTCAAGGCTTCTGTCCGCGAGCAGTACCAGAAGTGGTTTGAAGTAGAGGGGCAAGAGCAGCTGACGGCAGCAGGTATGGTATTAACAGATTATCGCTTGTTCTACCCCTCCTCATCACCTTGTTGTTGCACTAACAGCTTTCCACCGTGCCCCCGTATTGTTTCAGGGAACCTCAAGAAGCGCCACCTGAGGTCGTCCTGAGGTGGAGACCTGGAAGGCAGTGCCCGCCGACCTCATCAAGCGCACCTTCCTCACTGTGGCATCAGCAACGCACTTGACAGCAGTGAGGACGGTCTCGTCATGGCGCACAGGCGGAGCCAGCTGACCGCGGAAGTGGATGTCGATGATGACATCATTGCCGATGGCTTCTTTGGCAACAACTGCCCGGAGCCCGAGTCTGACGAGGAGGAGTAGCTAGTACCAAGTACCTTGCTAGAAAGGCGCACGAAACGTCATGTTACGGTAGATGATTTTGAAGTAGTCGAGATTGTTGGTGCCAGATTTGTAATGAAAGACTTTAGAAGTTGTTATTGTGAGAAAGTCTAAAAAATATAAAAAATGGTTAAGGGATGTGCTTAAAATAAGTACGGGTACACAAGGGGGTGCGCTTATAATCAAGGAACGGCCATAAGTGCCATGCTCCAGATAAAAGCGCCGGCGCCTTTTATCAGACGGCGCCTATATCCTGGGCCATACAGTACATTCCCTTATTGCAGAGAAACCCAACCGTGCGACTCCAGACAATTACGAACCGTTCGGGCAGAATCCTCGCCACTGCTGCTTCTTGATGCTGTCTGCCTTGACGGTCCTATGCTTCGTAACCGTGCAACCCTTCGCGCCATTCCGCCTCTTCGTCTTCATCCTCGGTACTGCATACTTCGATTGCTACTGTTAAGAGTGCACAGTAACACTTCATGTTTTACCATTCGTAACACCCCCCTTCACTCCTGGCCGTAGCAGGTCTTGACCCGCTTGACTACCCCGCTGAGTTCGGAGCAGTGCTGGTACTGCAGACGTGACAGTCGCTTCGTGAGGAAGTCAGCTGCCATGTCACCCGTCGGGCAGTATGTCAAGTCAACCTTGCCCTTGTCAACTTCGTCCTTGATGAAGAAGTACTGCAGCGCAATGTGTTTGGTGCGGTTGATGAACCCAGGTTTGTTCGCGATCCTGATCGCGCTCTGTTTGTCGCAATGTAGGCGAAAGGTGGGCGAGATTGGAATTTTCGCCTCCTGTAGGTAAAGCCCCTCGCGAACTGCTGCTGTCGCGGCGATGAACTCAGCTTCCGCCGATGACAGAGCAACCAGTTCCTGCTTCTGCAAATTCCAGGAGATGGGCCTTGTGGGTTCGAGTCGAAACAGGAACCCAGTTCTGGACTGTCGATTGTCCGGGTCAGCGGCATGATCGGCGTCCACGTAGCCGGTAAGGTTGAAAGACGATGTGGTAACTGTGGAGTAGCAGAGCCCAATGTTGGGCGTGGAGATGAAGAACTGCAGAGCACGCTGAAGATCTAGAAGATTCTCAACTGTTGGTTTGCGGGAGTACTGAGCCAGTTGGCTCGCGATGTACGAGATATCAGACCTGCAGGTGACAGAGGCGAAGAGCAGGCAACTTAGCTGCTGCTGGTAATTCTGGAGTCCAGCGAGGGACAGGGCTTTGTTGTCAGGTTTGTGGTTTGGTTACGGGGTGCGTTAAGGGGTGGAGAGCCGTGCAGGCACGATGTTGAAGCGTTTGCCAAGTTCTTCTGCATACTTGGCAGCTGAAAGATGAATAGCATCTGGTGCGTATGAGATGTTGAGGCCGAGGAACTGCTTCACGTCGTGGTTGCAGGTGATGTCGACGCGACCTGCAAGGTTCTTCTCGAACTGCTCAAGTAACTCGTTTCTTGACCCTGTGTAGAGCAATTCGTCGACGTAGGCAGTGAGCAGGATGTATTCGCCGCGGAAGTCGCGCCGGTACATTCTGGGAATGTTGCTTGAAGCCTAACTCAAGCAGAATGTTATGCAGATGCTGCTGCCAGAGCCTCGGCGCCTGTTTGATCCCGTGAGTCCCCTTCGCCGTATGTGTGTGGCTGCTCCACATAGATTACCGCATCTACTAACGCATAGAGGAATGCGTTCTTCACATCGATTTGGCGAAGTGGCAGGTGCCTCGCGGCGGCGATGGCGAGTAAGATTCTAACAGAGGTGTGATGCCTGACCGGTGCGAACGTCTGGTCGAAATCGATGATGTGCCTTTGATTGTAGCCGCACATGACCCAACGCGCCTTAAATTGCTCGATTGTGCCGTCCACTGTGGTCTTCACGCGGAAGACCCATCTGATGGAGAGAATTCTTCCTTTGATTGCGGCGTGATCGACGAGCACCCAGGTGTCGCGTGACTCAAGCGCCTTGATTTCTGCATCCATTGCCTCGCCCTATTCCTTGCTGTGTGGTCCCGTGAGTGCTTGGCGCGGATTCTTGGGCTCGACGACACGTGGCGCCGTTGAAGTGGCGGTGTGAAGCCCTAGCAGCTGCACTCTGAGACGGTGCTGTCGTGGCGGTGCTGGGGGATGACCTCCTATACGTCATCGTCGTCACTCTCTGGTTCAGGTGGTGGTGGCGGTGATGCGCCTCTGCTGCTTCCGCCTGCGCCGCTGACTCCTCCTCCTGAGGGTTCTTCATCGTCATCGTCACTGGTGTGGCGATCTCCTCCTCTGAACTCGCCTCTGGTGTCCTATTCCAGGATGACTGCGGCAACTTCGTCCTCGGGCGTGGTGTAGCTGTGCCCGTCATGGGCGTAGACGCAGTTCGCGTTCGTCTATTCGTCCTCGCGGAACAGGGCGACGGTGAGCCGTTCGTAGAAGATGTCGCGCGCGTTCGTGATCTTCTAGCTGAGCAGATCCAGGATGATCCATGCCTTGTATTTGCAACTGATGCCGAGGTGGATTCCCCAGCGCGCTCGGCTTGCGAACTTGCCGATAGTTGATGTCGGCGGGCAATATTGCACCATGCACCCCCAGATGTGGAACATGGATGTATCGCCGGCAGAAGACTGCACCTCCCTCAGCAGCAGTATCGTGCTGCTGCTGGTGTGGGAAGAGGGGAGGCATAGGTATGGATGGCATTGGCATGTACAAGGGGTTGAGGTTGGCGCAGGCAAGCAGGGATGATGCTTCAGCGGTGATACAGGCAATGATGCCTGCCTTGGCCGCTGACACGGTCTGTGGTGTCCCTTAACTCATACCTGTTGTGGTGACAAGTAGGCGGCATCGGTGTTGTCATCGTCAGCATCACCCTATGCTGGCTTTGGGCTTCGATTGCGGCTGCTGCGCTGCTGTGCTACGCCTTTTGAGATGTCTCTATAGGCAAAACCTACTCATTCGTACCTGCTGTGGTGAGAAGTAGGCAGCATCGAAGTTGGCATAGTCAGCATCACCAGATGCGGCCAGCGGCTATGATTGCGTCTGCTGCGCTGCCCCTTTGTTGCGCGTGCGCCCGCCCTCCTCCTTGCGAATGTGAATGCAATCCAGGTAGGTCTGGAATGAGAAGGGAAGAGGAGAGAGCGCGGGGGAGGGGGGACGTGAGCTTGTTTCCAAGTCTGCTGCGCTGCCCCCTAGTTGCACCTGCGCCCCCCCTCCACCTTGCAAATGTGCATGCAGTCCAAATAGGTCTGCAAGGAGTTGGGTGGAGGCAGGAAGAGGGGGAGAAAGGAAATTATGCTTATTCCCATGTCTGCTGCGCTGCCCCCTTGTTGATCATGCGTCCCCCCTCCTCTTTGCGAATGTACAAGGGGAGGGAGAGGAGAGGTACAAGGGGAGGGAGAGGAGAGGTACATGCGGAGGGAGGGGGGAAGCAGGGCGGAGGGAGGGGGGAAGCAGGGCGGAGGGAGGGGGGAAGTAAGGCAGAAGGAGGGGGAAAGCAGGGCGGAGGGAGGGGGGAAGTAGGGAGGAGGGAGGGGGGAAGCAGGGCGGAGGGAGGGGGGAAGCAGAGCGGAGGGAGGGGGGAAGCAAGGCAGAAGGAGGGGGAAAGCAGGGAGGAGGGAGGGGGGAAGGAGGGAGGAGGGAGGGGGGAAGCAGGGAGGAGGGAGGGGGGAAGCAGGGAGGAGGGAGGGGGGAAGCAGGGAGGAGGGAGGGAGGAAGCAGGGCAGAGTGATGGGGGAAGTATGGCAGAAGGAGGGGGGAAGCAGGACGGAGGGAGTGGGGAAAGCAGGGCGGAGGGAGGAGGGAAGCAGGGCATAGGGAGGGGGGAAGCAGTGCGGAGGGAAGGAGGAAGCAGGGAGGAGGGAGGGGGGAAGCAGGGCAGAGGGAGGGGGGAAGCAGGGGGGATGGAGGGGGGAAGCAGGGATGAGGGAGGGGGAAAGCAGGGAGGAGGGAGGGGGGAAGCAGGGAGGAGGGAAGGAGGAAGCAGGGGAAAGGGATGGGGGAAGCATGGCAGAAGGAGGGGGGAAGCAGGGCGGAGGGAGGGGGGAAGCAAGGCGGAGGGAGGGGGGAAGCAGGGCATAGCGAGGGGGGAAGCAGGGAGGAGGGAGGGGGGAAGCAGGGAGGAGGGAGGGGGGAAGCAGGGAGGAGGGAGGGGGGAAGCAGGAAGGAGGGAGGGAGAAAGCAGGGCGGAGGGTGGGGGGAAGCAGTGTGGAGGTAGGGGGGAAGCAGGACGGAGGGAGGGGGGAAGCAGGGGGGATGGAGGAGGGAAGCAGGGAGGATTTAATATAGGGGTTGCAGGTGAGGCAAAGGAGAGTAGATTGGGAGGTAAACAGAGCTGGTGGGAGAAAGAGAGGTTGGTCACAATGAAGAGGGGTGTCAACAATTGGGAGGGTGGGAGGAGGGCGCTGGGAGGGTGGGCAACAGCAGGGGAAGCGAGGGCGATGGGGAAGGGAAGGTCCACCAGGAAGCGCTTCAGACTCGCATCCCGCACATTTCTGTCGTCTTCTTGGTACGAGACTTCTAGGTCGTCCTCATGGCTGGGTTGTGGGAGGGGAGGAGCCCCACCAGGAGGGGGGAAGATGCAAATGAATTGCAAATCAGGGAGAGGAGTGGACCTACGAAGAGGGAGAGTAAGGAGGGCACATGGGAGGGAGCGGAGGGAGATGAGAGAGGCACAAGCAGGAGACGAGATTGGGGGCAATATGGCGGCACATCAAATGCAGCAGCAATTGCTTTCTCTTGGAGTATTGTTGGCCTGAAGCTATCATATCCCTCTCACTCCCCTCAGTGCGGAGTCACTACACAATGGGAGTGGACTACAGAGGAGGGCACGGGGTTGTGCGAGTGATCGCAGCGCTCTAGTAGCGTTCTTACTACTTGATGTGTTCACAGAGAAGTTTGGCATGAGTTTCCAATGAGGAAGTTGAAAGAACATTGAACATTCAAAAGATTAGAGTACAATGAGGCATGCAAAACAATATGACTAGTGTCACGAGATAAGGCGAACGAGGAAGCATGTATATACTGTATATTTGTATATAACCGTGAAGGAGTGAATACAGAGGAAAGTGGAGGTTAGGGCGGGGATGGTTGGCGGCCGCATGGCAAGATGAACAGGTTGGGCCGAGGGCAAGGTGAGAGGAGCAGGTGGCATACTTGCGCATGTTTGTTTCCTTGCAGGTCGAATGCCCGAGCCAGCTGGAGTTACAACCACGAGCTGGAGGTCTCGGTCGAACAGCGTTCGCCGAGCAGAGCTCGTCGACTAGAGCTCGTCGACTAGAGCTCTTCGACGGGGCTTTCGACCATCGCTCGAACGGAGCTTCGTCGACCAGCACTCCTCGACGGACTTCATCGACCATCGCTCCTCGACGGGCCTCGTCGACCATCGCTCCTCGACGGGCCTCCTTGACCGCTGTCTTCGACTAGCGCTGCCCGACGACGATGTCGACCAGATTCCGTCGAGCAGAGCCTGCTCGACCGCAGCTTCCGTCGAACTGCAGAAGCCCACTTCTTCAACCCATCCGTCGAAGACTTCTCGTCGACGGCGAGATCGGCTGCGCCCAAGCGAGGGCGGGGCCTTTTTCTTCGACACTCCCCTGCCCAGCTCACGCTTGTGCACCCACACACAAGGTTTAGAATACGAGGAGAAAACTCCGTCTGTGTGCACCCAAGACATAGCACGCAGATCACTACACCAGCCGCGCAGAAGGGCACGGCACCTACAGCTGCACCTCGTCATCCCCGTCGCCCACGTCGGCCAGATGCGCTTGGCCGATTCCGAAGGAGCACCGGTTGAAAGCCGGAAAATGCAGCGCCTTCATTAGAAAGTCTGCCGGCTGCTTGTTGGTCGGGATGTACTGCAGAGCAATCTTTCCGCGCTTCACCATCTGCTGCAGGCAGGTGTAGCATCGCTCCATGTGCTTGAGGTTGCCCTTCAGCCCCAAGCCCTCTGCGACAGTGATTACCGACCGGTTGTCCACGTGAAGAACAATTGGCTTCCTTGCGTCGAGCAGTCGGAATTCCACAAGGAGGAAGCGCAGACGACGAGCCTCCTTGCCGGCTTCCGTGGCCACGACGTACTTCGACTAAGTCGACGAGAGCGTCGCGCACTTGATGCGCTGGCTCGACCACGAGACTGCGGCCCCTCCAAAGACGAACAGGTAGCCGCCCGTGCTCGTCCGATTCTGCTTTTCGCCCACGTCGTCGGCATCAGCATAGCCGACTAGACACTGCGGCTCTGGTCCGCTGTCGAACTCCAGAGCGGCGTCACGGTTTTCAGCGATGTAGAGCAAACAGCGATCAACCTCACTCCAGTGGTTGTCGCTCCGCACAGTCATGCCGGATCTGAGCTTGCTGCATGCGAAGGCAATGTCCGGCCTCGTCGTGGTGGCCGCAAACTGCAGCGAGACGACCTTCTGCCGGTACTCTGCTTCCTCGCGCAACTGGAACTCGTCGTCGTCGAACATCAGCTCTGTGTAGGCGTCGACGGAGACTGGCGTCTTTGCCACTCGCCCGATCTGCTCCTCGTCGATGAAGCGTCTGCGCAGCTTGTCGATGAAGACTTGCTAGTGAAGCCACAGCTTCCTTGCCGGGCTGTCGCGCATGATTTCCAGCCCGAGATACTTCTCGACCGGGCTGATCTCGCGCAACTCGAAGGCAGCCTCCAGCAGCTCCTTCAGCATCGCAGTGCTGCTGCTTGCGGCGAGCAGATTGTCGACGTAGACGAGCACCCAACACGTCACTCCGTCGTCGCCGATCTTGAAGTACAGCACCTCATCGACCTGGCTCTTTTTCCAGTCGGCTCCAGTCAGCACATCGTCGAGCGCCTTGTACCACAGCAGCGGACTCTGCTTTAGGACGTACAAGCTCTTCAGCAGCTTGCAGACACGGCCGGTTCCGTCGTTGTAGTAGTCAGGCTGGTACATGTATAGGACGCGATCCAGCTTGCTCTACAGAAACGAGTTCTTCATGTCGAGCTGCATCAGATGCAGGTCGAGGACTGCTACGATGCTGAGAAAGATGCGCAGAGTCATGTAGCTCCCCACCGGCATGTACGTCTCATCGTAGTCTGCGCCGTACACCTGCGTAAACCCTTTAGCGACCAGGCAGGCCTTCTCGCGGGCGACCGTGTCGTCATGAGCACCCAGCGGTTCTTCATGATATCGACACCGCGCGAACGCTCGACCAGCTCCCACGTCCCGTCGGAGATGAGGCTCCAGATCTCCTCGTCCATGGCGGCCTTGACTGCCTTGCCCTTCCAGCTCGCCAATGCCTCCTTCACCGTCATGTTGGTGATGTCCCAGCAATGCTTTGGGCCGGCGTGCATATCGGGGTCGAGCTCGGGCAGAACAACATCGTCCTTTGCGTCGTCGAGCAGAGTGCTGTGCAGCTCACCCAGGTCTGTGCACGTGTGTCTCTTCTGCAGCTCCGACTTCACCAGGGCGAGAGCCTCAGTGTCAGCAGTGGCAAAGACCAAGTCGTCGACATACACGAGGATGTAGAACGGCGGCAATGAAGTGTTGGTGCGCAGAAACAGCGACGGGTCAGCACGAAGGAGCAAACCCAAGGGCCGCAAGCGTCGTCTTCAGTGTGTTGTGCCACTCGCGAGGCACCTAACGGAGACCGTAGACTGGCCGCCGGAGGCTCCACTGGGTACGTGCAAGAAACGACCCAGTGAAGCCAGGTGGGCGGCACAGCCAGATCTCCTCGTGCAGGCTGCCCTGCAAGAAAGCTGTGCTGAAGTTAAGAGAGTGAAGCTCGTAGTCACGCTAAGCGGCGACGTGCGGCAGAACCCGAAGAGTGGTCATCTTTGGGGTAGGGGAGAAGGTTTGGAAGAAGTCAACTCCCTGTCTCTGACTGAAGCCTCGTGCAACGTAACGCGCCTTGAAGACAGGCAGAGAACTCGGCGGCCGCTTCACCCTGAAAATCCACATGCCACTCACGATGTTCGCCCCAGGTGGGGGAACAGCGTAGACGTAAGTGCTTGTGGACTTCCATGATGCCATCTCTGCATCCATGACTATTGCCACTGAGAGGAGTAGGGACCCTCAATCGACTCTGCTTAAGAGCGCGGGGTCGGGATGTCTGGTGCATCCGGGTCTCCCTCAGATGCAATCAGCATGGACCCGAGATGAGGTACAGCAGCTGCAAAGCACTCAAATTCCTCCTGCCTGTCCTCAAGGACGTCCGTGCCAAGAGCACACTCACCCCCGACAGACGGAGGACAGACAAACTCAGACTCAGCAACAATACTAGTGGCGTAGTCTAGAATGTAGCGAGCAGCAAAGTCGACAAGCTCGGCAACTAGGGCAGACGCAGCAGCAGACTCAAACAAAGGGTCAGTGACAGCAGTGGCCAGGAGACGGGTGACAGTAGGGCTGGCAGCACGAGCTAAGTCGGACTCAGGGTCCGGAACGTGCGGAAGAGAGGACGCAGGAGGAGACGGCAGGGGAACACGCTGTGGAACAGAGGAAGGACGAAGTGCCATAGTGTGCGTGCCGGGGACAGGAGGAGGACGCTCACGAGGAACACGACGACCAGTGCGACCAGCGCGAACAGGCGAGGCAGGACGAGACGCAGGCTCACGACGATCTGTAAGCGAGTCCGTCTGCTCAGTGTAAGGAGAAGGAGCAGGGAACGGAGAGCCTGGCTGTAACGGGAGGCCAGTAGAAGACGGGAGGCTAAGAACCTGGCGAAGCACGGAGTCAGGCGGCGGCAGAGACGACGGTGACGGCGGAGCGAAAAACAGTCTCTGCTGTGCAGTACCACCAGCACCTCCAGCACCAGCAGCACCACCAGCTCCGGCAGCAGCAGTACCTCCAGTACTAGCACCTCCCGGACCAGCAGCTCCAGAACCTCCAGCGCCAGCGCCTCCAGCTCCAGCACCTTCAGCGCCAGCGCCTCCAGCTCCAGCGCCCGCAGTGCCTCCAGCTCGGGCAGCTCCAGCACGTCCAGGACCAGCAGCTCCAACTTCAGGGCCACCAGCCCCGACGCCTCCAGAGTCAGAGCCTCCAGCTCCAGCACCTCCAGCTCCAGGGTCTCCAGCCCCAGCGTCTCCAGCTCCAGCACCTCCAGCTCCAGAGTCTCCATCTCCAGTGTCTCCAGCACCGGCACCTCCAGCTCCATGGTCTCCAACTCCAGGGTCGAAAGCACCAGCTCCAGTGCCTCCAGTTGTAGCACCCCCAGAACCGGCACCTCCAGCTCCAGCAGCACCACCAGTCCTGGCAGCTCCAGTACCTCCAGTACGAGCACCTCCAAAACTAGAAACACCAGCACCCTCAGCGCCTCCACGACGAGCAGCTCCAGCAGCTCCAACCGCAGTACCTCGAGCAGCTGTACCTCCAGCAGTAGGACCTACAGCTCCAGCAGCACGACTCCTCAGGCGGGCACGCCACGCAAGCCACTCTCGTAGCAACTGTGGTGAGGGAGGCCCCCGTCATGAAAAGCGACCCGGAGAAACACCAGCAGACTCAGCACCCCCAGACCCGGCACCCTCCGGCTCAGCACCCCCAGGCTCCGCACTCGTAGGCTCAGCACCCCCAGGCTCAGCACCCCCAGGCTCAGCACCCCCAGGCTCCGTACCCCCCAGCACCGCACGCACAGGCTCCGCACCCCC